TCCAGATGCAAACTATATTTGATAACCAGCTGCCACGTACACTCTTCAGTTATTTTCACAGGACCAACTTGCTGTCCTGGAGATGGTTTCTGGTGGGGTCCTTACCTGTGATGTCCAAGATGCAGCAATTGCACTAGTTGATTGCATTATTTGCAGAGGAGGAGAAACATCCTTGGCCCTGTAAGACATTTGAATTGCTTTAACTATTCAGGATGCTACAGTTTTGGAAGTAGCTGGTTGCTCCTTCCTTGACCCTGATGGTAAAACAAGTTCTCTGTAAGTAGGTGAAAGTAAGACAAACTAGATCTAAATTATGCCAGAGCTTCTCTTTTCTGACTTAGGCTCAGATAATATTGGCAAGGTAAACTCCAAATCCAGATGGAATTGTTATACAACTTTTGGAAGAAATTCGGTCTAAGCAACACTTTATTAGGAAACCAAGACATTTTATGTAATCAGTGGGCCTGTGAGCAAAATTATAAGTTGGATCCCATTGCTTGATTAAAGAAAAAAAATGTGATGTGCTTTGTGTGCTGTGGTGAAGAGCGAGGCATTGTTTTTATTGCCCCAGGGGCTTTGATACAATTCAAAAAGACCTGGTGTACCTTTGTGCACTTTAAGTAAAGCAGTAATGCTGTGCGTGCAAAGCCGTGGCAATGGTGGATGTTGCCAAATTGCTTTAACAGTGGGAAGGGTTTCATGGGACAAGATTAAATCAAACAAAAGTTATTTTATACCCATTAAATATGCTTAGATTGCTGTGCCACAAGTAAGAGTCTGACAGACACGTATACACCTCAGCACAATCATTTTATAAAACATGAAACTCTTTTATTGCATATGACTTTATGCACACTCAAAATAGACTGAGGGCTAACACTTTGTTTGAGCTGTCCTTTTATAAGGACGTCATTAAAATAGTCACAGATTGCTTGGCTCAACATCACCTTCATCATCAGACTCCACTGAACCACCACTTTCCTAAAGCGTTCTCTCCTAGATGTAGATGGCGAGAAGAGGTGTAGGGAACAGTTGGGTAGGAATAGAAAGAGAAATTAACTGGCTCATGTGTTCAGCTATAGCTTCCCTGATGTACTGTAGGCCTTTAATTCTGCTGACTCCTTATCTGATTTATCTGAAATCTCACTAAAGCAGCCTTTTTTTTTTTTAATGGTTGGAGATGCGCATGCACAGTAGTAGCCTGATAAGAAAAATGGGGGAACAATATTCGGATTTGTGCCCTAAACAGATGAGGACCCTTCTCCATAGAATGTTTTATATGATTTTTTAAGAATGCGAGAATTCTTACTTTTGAAAAGAATGTGAAAAAGCTAGTATATCCCATGGAAATTGTTGACTTCAACATATTTACGCAGGCAAACGATATTGACGTAAACAGTGTCAGGTAAAGGTGATATACTTAAACAAAATGACACATATAAATGACATGGTTTATTCATTTTCATGATCTAAATTAATGAAAATGCAAATTGGCACCAACACTTCTAATCCATGAAATTGAAATCTTGTACTCCTAAGGGAGTATGTAGGTTGAACCTGTCTAATTTAAACTTGACATATACAGGGTCTTGTGTTCTCTTCGCGATTGACACGTGGGGGTTTATTTACCAAAGCTGGAGAGTCCAAAATCAGACTCCCTTCTGCATAGAAACCAATCAGCTTCCAGGTTTCATTGCCAAAGCTTCATTGAACAAGCTGAGGTTAGAAGCTGATTGGTTTCTATGCAGAAGGGAGTCTGATTTTGGACTCTCCAGCTTTAGTAAATAAACCCCGTGGTGTCAGTTTAAATCATAGCCAAACAGTGCTCTCTAAGACCCTGAGAAAGAAACATGTGGATGCCTAGGAGCCTGGCAAGGGATTTAAAAAGATTGCAAACTGATCTGAAGATCTTTAACCCCTTCACGCCTAAGGGTAAAACAAGCACAATTCTCCAATGTTGACGTGAGAGTAAAATTGTACATATCGTCACAACTACTTTGTACATCCAGGTGGATTATACCTTGCTTTTTCAGGACAAATTGGGTTTTCATTTGGTGGTAAATGGTAATGAATATCTTATCTTTTTTTTTTATTATCAAAGGAAAACTGGCCCAAAATAGTAAAAAAAAAATCATTTTTTTAAATTTAGCTTTGTGTTTCTTGTTACGACCATAACCTACCACCAAAGAACACCCCAAAATAAATTATCCAGCTCTTGACAATCGCAGCGATACCATATATGTGTATGTTATTTGTTGTTTGTACCCGTAGTACAGCCCAGAAACAATAGTGTGCATTTTGTTTTTGTCTTTTTTTTTTTTTTTTACCTAAAACACACTGACATTAACACTAACTGACACTGATACCATTTTTTTTTTTTTTTTTTTAAATCCTGACCTTTAACTTAAATACTGACTCTGGCACTGAACTAGATGAAACCTTGATCTAGGTATTTTTCTTTATTTTTTCGTTTAGTTTTTAATATTTACTTATCTTTACAAATTTTTTTTTTCTCTCTATGCCAGGAGTTAGAGAGATACAATGTATCTCTCTTCTCCATTCATAGAGAGAGAAAAAAAACAAGGGGTGCGGGCTGCACAGTGACTGGTCACTGTGATAGCCATCAGAGGCTATCACAGCGATCATGTGACCCGGGACCGGGGTTCCTGGGTCCCGATCATTAGAACGGGACCCGGTGCTCTCAGTGACACCGCGGTCTCAGTGCTGGGAGCACGCCGAGCAGCACGCTCCCAGCACAAAGACAGGTACGCAAATATGCGGCCCCATGGAAAAAAGCCCAGTTCTGTGAGAGCCGCGTATTTGTGTGATGTCGGCGGGAAGGGGTTAAGGAAAATCATTTACAAGTGGCATAGATTTTAAACAACCTATATTTTGTCCAGGACTTGGTAGCCTAGCAATTTCAACCCATGAGCTAACAATTTGGTGCTAAAAGAAGTCTCATGCATTGCGCCAATTCAACTTTCATCCGAGAGGTTGCTAAGAAAAAGCCTTTGCTGTCCAAAAAGAACACTAGAGCAAGATTACATTTTGCCATTAAACACAGAGGCCCTCCATAACAATGTGCTAAATACTGATTTAGTCGAAGACAAAGTTGGTTGATCATTGTAAAAGTAGACATGTTTGCCACAATCTAAAGATCGCATTTCAGGAAACGAATCTCATAACAACTGTAAAGCATGGGGGTGGAAATGTTAAGGCTTGGGGTTACTTCACAGCTTCTGGGGCCTGGACAGATCATCATCAAGCCAATTACATTTTTTGCACATATTAAAGTGTGCTTGAAGCCATCTGTCCAAAAGTTGAAGTTGAACTGAACAAGCATTGCAGCATAATAACCTGAAGCACATTAGCAAATCCACCAAAGAATAGCTCATAAAGAAGAAATGGAGGGTCATGGACTGCCCCAGTCAATGCCCTGATTTGATTCTAATTGAAATTTTGTAGGGGGGGTTGAAATACACAGTTAATACAAGGAAACCCATAAGTAAACTTTTATGAAACTCCAAGGCATTTTACATGGAGAAGTAGTCAAAAATGGCACTGAGTCAACATAGACTAGTGGGCAGTTATACAAAATGCCTACAAAAAAGTATTTTCCTGCTAATAGGGGCAGTACCAGTTTTTGTTACTAATTTTGGCACTGTGCTCCATTACATCTATTGATATTTTTGTTGATGAATTGATTAAAAAGCAACATTTTTTTTTTTTTTTTTTTTTTTTTTTTTTTTTTTTTTTTGTGCTCTTATTAAAATATGTCCCTTTTTCTGAAGACACTGGGGTTGATTTACTAAAAGACAGATTGAATGTGCACTTTGCAAAGTTGCACAATGCACGAGCAGTTGCGCCAGAGATTAGTAAATGAGCAGAAGCTCTGCTGACTTCCATCATCCAAACATATGCAAGCAAATGCTGTTTTCTTTATTTCCCTTGCATGTGATTGGGTATTCTTGCAGATTAAAACTTTACTACATTGACTGACCTCTGAGCAACTGCACTTGCAGTGTGCAACTGCACTTCACAAATTGCACAATCTACCTGCCTTTGATAAATCAACCCAACTGTTTCAATACAGATATAATTGTTGACCATTTTTCACAGAACTGTATACCTCTGCTGTGATCTTGAAAATGAGTTTGTTACCCATGAGGCACTATCGTATAAACATTACAGATCATTGCTATATTTTAAATCTAGAATATGTAGTGAAAAAATACCAGTAAGGAAAAAAAAAATCAAAACAAAATGTTCATCTCTCACCCTGTCCGCTGGCTTGACCGCAAACCTATAGATATAAAGCACTAAGAGCAAAGAGAAAAGATTACTAGCTATGGCAAACAAAAACCTCAGAGCAAACAAAAGTAACCTCACACCTTTAGCAGAAACACCATAGAACAAGTATGTGTAGAGAGCCCCTTCCCAAATTCTGTACACCATGTACCCAGTAGTGATATACCAAGAACAATTATTAACCTCCCAGGGGTCTAATTATGTCCACATTTCTGTGCTCAAAGCGGTACATTTTTTTTGCATGGAAATATGTAGTTTTTTTATTGTAGGCCTCTAATTTTTAGGAATAACTCACTGAAATCTGTCCAAACAAGAGTCTAATAAATATCCCAGGTATGTTAAAATTTGAAAGACGAAATCATAAATTATAATTTAATAAATCATAAAAAATAATAATATAATTAATTCAATAATATCAAACCAAAAACACTGAAATTTGAAATAGAGTGCCAAATTCGCACATCACTGAGCAAAAGTCGCAAAATCGTTTTCAGTGTCTGATGAGAATTTCCCCACGAATCATCACTCAATTCTGCAAGTAGTTCTAATTTACTATCGCTGTTCTCTAGCTGATCTAAAACCGCTTTTGACCTAAAGGGATGCTTTTTGGAAACCATGGACTTTTCTCAGTTTCAAGGCAGAAAGAACAGTAAAAATGCAGGCAGGACACAGGACAAAGCACTAGGGACAAAATGTATGTGAAATGCTTTGATACAGTAATGTTTTACTATGTGATTTTAGTGAGTTTAGTGAATGTCACTTTTTGACATTTTTAAATTTCCCACCAGTTCCATCCCCGTACGTCCTGACGTCGCAGGGAACGGAACCCAGAAGACAGATGCCGGCATCGGCCGGGGGAGATGGCACTGCAGGGGGGGCATCGCGGGAGCGCAGGACAAGGTAAGTGCAGAAGGGATCCCGAAGCAGCGCTGCAGGGTATTCCCGAGTGTAGCTCGGGGTTACCGCTTGTGGTGCTGAAACTTTACCCCGAGCTACACTCGGGAATACCTCCAGGGAGGTTATATGGTGTGTCATAAGAGACCAGAAGTGAGAGAGACTGCTAGCCAAAAAGGCAACCAAACTCTACAACTAACACTCACTAAAAAAATAAAGGACCAGGAGGTACAGAGCAGGACCAGCAGCAGGAGGAAGACACTGCAAGTAGTGCAAGATTAGACCACTGCTGTGATGAGGAAGGGAAGGGCACATTCACCGCTTCCACCCTTACCACACAGCTGCAAATGAAAAGTATAAGAGCAGAGAAGATAAAGAAGAGAGCAGAGGATAGACTTTCCAAGTTCTTATAAAGCCTCTTATGTTACTTCTGCACTGAAAGTGATGTAAGAAGCAATAGATGGACATTGGAAAGAGAAAGTTAAACCAGGAGCATAGCTCTCCTTAAAATGTTTATAAAGAGGAGTATACAGAAAAGTATAGAAAGGATCAATTTAGGGGTTACACCAGAGCCTCCACTCTGGGAGAGGTATAGCCTGGTGGATTGGGAGCTTTCTTTATAGGGGAATCTTCTGACAGAAGTCTCTGATCAGGAATGTGGAGGAAGGGAAATTAAAAATGTTTCTAATGGGTTGTTCTGGGATGTTGTGGGATGACCAGGGTGATCTGAGAAGATTTGTATGTTTTTACTATGTGCTGAAATGTTAGTAATTACACCCAGTAATATGTGCATATTGAAACAATTCACCTTTTATAAGATTTAGCAAATATGTACATTTTTCCTGCCTAAAAGGAGGCACCATAAGGTCCTTTTAAAAGGTTTGATTGGCCATAGAGACGTCCTCAATGGTTTGTGATATAGAAGGTGGATGGGGTTTTGATCCTGAAGAAGGGGCTTATTGCTGGAATCCATATATTGGTAATAGGGTAAAGCCAGGACTAAGGGGCACATAGAAGTGGTTACACTGTGATGACAAATTAGGCAGTCCTAGTTGGCAAATAAAATATTTTTGTGGTTAATTTACAAAAACTGTTCACGGTTTTCTTTACATATGTAGCACTATCCCCTTAGGGATTGCTGAAGAATTGTGTCCTCTTATAGTCCTGTACAGCCAGTCATTCAGTATTTTCCACACAAGCTTGCACTCAGTCAGAATCATTCCTTGAGCATTGGTTTTGTTATTTTATTGAGGGGATTAGAACTTGGATAGGGTAAGGGGCGTATAGGATGCCCAAGGGAACCGATAACGGATGATAACTTCCTGAACTATTTACAAGCTTCACTTCTCTGATGCTGTCTCTGTTGAAAATCTAGCCAGCATCTCCTCGATGTACCACCCCAGACCTTAGATTAACTCCTCTTCATTCAGCAATTTGGAGACTTTTGCTGAGCAGGGAATCTGGCTGCTTTCCCTTTTTAAATGAGCTGCACCATCACTAGTAGGGGGCTAATCTAGTTTCCCACCAGAGTGCTCCTTCCCTTATCTACCCAGAGGTTGCAGGTATACTCACTCAGATCCTCTCTTGTACTGCTTGCAGGTTGACCACTGCCACCAGGCCTATCAGCTGGGCTGCTCCATCCCTGCCATAAAGGTGACCAGTGAGTCCTGAGTTTTCCTCCTCTCCAGGCTCGCAGGCAGGCCCCATCCCACTAGGCCTCCTGGCAGCTTCCTTCCACCTGCCTCACATCTTCCTCCACACTCTTTCCTCCAGCTCTCTTACTGCTGAGTAGGCTCCTATACTTTTTAGGGAGTACCAGCCCCTTGCCAAGCTTTCTGCTGGCATTGGCTGAGGTCTCTCAAGAGTGCAGCCAGCCACTCCTCAGATCCATCCATTGCTTCAGAGGCCCTCCCCTGAAAGCCTCAGAGCAGGGGGAAATTCCAGAGGGGCTGACCTGCAGAGTTTCTCAGCCCTGACCACAATTTGACTTATCTGGCTATTACGCCTGAGCTGCTAACAGTTCCTGTCTACCCATTAGAATCTAGCTCCCCCTAGCTAATTAGGAGGGTGTTATGCATAGATGTAACCATATTTTACACTCTGTATAAAGATTGTACTAAATTTGCATCTTAATAAATAAGGTGCAGCTCTGCAGAGAAAAATACGGTGCAGCTCTGCAGAGAAATCAGTCAACTAATATATATTTTTTATGTCGCAGCTTAATTGAACAAGCTGAAGTTGGAAAAGTTAGAAGCTGATTGGCTACCATGCACTGCTGCACCTGGTTTTGCTCTATTCAGTTTTAGTAAATCAGCCCTTTTATGTTGCCATAACCATGAGAAACAAATGGTTTAAACAATCAAGGTCATTTGATAGAAAATGTCCATGAATCCTTGTATTTAGTAATGTTTGCAATATAATGTACTTGTTTGATGAAACCTCAACTCAAGATCATGTGACACATGTGAAGTACTATTGGGGACACTGCCAAGAAATTATTACTTGGCATGCGCTGGATGAGTCTGTCATCTGTCCAAAGACTAAGAACATAATGCAAATCCCTCTGTCAATGAGAAGTGCTTGTGCTAGACCAAGGAACATCAACAGTGTATCCCTTGTGCCAGCCTAGTCAAAATGCAAGAAAAACAGTACATTTTTCCAATCAATACATGATTTATCTCCATATACAGGAGAGGACTTCAGTAAAAATGTAAAATTAGACATGTGCTTTATTCCCGTAACTAAATGAGTACCCCTTTGCTAGTAAACTTATTTTTTTACCATGCAAATGTAGACATGGTCACATTGGGAATAATTCTGTGTTCTGTTTTAGGGCTTCAGGAAAATTTGCAGTGATCTATATAAAGAATATGAAGACTGCTGTTTTGGAACTGAAATATTTAGTAGAATTGATCTCTGTTCAATGCACAAAAAGAACAATTTGTCTGGCTATTATTATTGTGAAAGCTCAATAATTATAGAAGCAATAAAACCTCAGGAGGTGAAGAGCTCCATCTCAGAGCCAAAGGTAGAAGCTTATGAAACATTGAAAGACACAGAGGCTCCTACAAGCTGCAGCAGCACTTCTTCCTCGGGAAAAGATGCTGACAAGATAAGTTTAGACATTACTGATGCAGCAGCCATAAGTAAAGTGGAAGGAATCAAAAAGAACAATGGACAGCCTGAAGCAGCAAACACTTTGCTGGGAGAGAAATCCTATGTGCAGTCAACACCTGATCTATTTCCAGCAGAAACAACGGCATCAACAGCTGTGGACAGCAGACCTGAAATAAAAAACTGACATATACAAATTTTCTGCCAAAGAAATGTCTGAATGGCTTAAGAAAACGCAGTGATCAAAACAAAATTAGGCATTTGTCTGCAAGTGTATTCAATGTTTAATGGTACTGTGCCAAATAATGAGACAATATCAGGAGATGCATTACTGAGGTTAGAGAGGAATGTACACTGTCAAGTATAATAAAAATCTGAACAGTCTACAAAGCTCCCTGAAGGATCACACAGCCAGATGGCTAGTTTTTTTCATCAAGTTTCATCTTAAAGATAACACAAAAGAACCTTGTTAAACTGGAAACTCTATAGTGAAAAGTGAGCCAAATTAAACCAAAATGATTTCTTCTCAAATTAAAGTCTGGATTATCTTTATGCACATGGACACTTGAAAAATATTGGTAACTAATGGCTTTTCCAATATCAGATGCCGCCATCAAGAAGAGATTGAAAAGGCAGTAACTGATGCCACCACTGTCTAGACCATGAAAAAGCAGCAACTGATATTCACCATTGGCTAGAGACTGAAAATTACATTAACTTATGCAGCTACTGACTACAGACTGAAAAGGCAGCAACTGATGCCACCACCAGCTAGACTGAAAAGGCAGTAACCTATTCTTGCCAATGGCTATAGACTGAACAGGCAGTAGCTGATGTCACCATTGGCTAGGGATGGAAAAGGCAGTACCTGATGCCACTAAGAGCTATAGGCTGAAAAACAGTAACTGATATTCACCACCAGCTAGACACTGAAAAGACTGTATATGATGCTGCCAATGGCTATAGATTGAAAAGTCAATAAATGATATTCACAATCAGCTAGAGACTGAAAAGACTAAATGATGCCTCCATTATCTATAGACTAAAAAAGGCAGTAACGTATGCTACCACTGGTTAGAGGCTAAAAAGGCAGTAACTGTGTCACCACCGACTAGAGACTGGAAAGGCAGTAACTGATACCACCACTGCCTAGTGACTGAAAAGACAGTAACTGATGCCACCACCAGCTAGAGACTGAAAAGACAGTAACTGATGCCACCACCAGCTAGAGACTGAAAAGACAGTAACTGATGCCACCACCAGCTAGAGACTGAAAAGACAGTAACTGATGCCACCACCAGCTAGAGACAGAAAAAGGCAGTAAATGATATTCACCACCAGCTAGAGACCGAAAAGACAGTAACTAATGACATCAATGTCTAAGACTGAAAAGGTAATAACTGATATTCACAACGAGCTAGAGACTGAAAAGACAGTACATGATGACATTATTGCCTAGGGACTGAAGCAGCAGTAAGTGATGCCACCATTCACTAGGGACTGAAAAGGCAATAACTGATGCTACCTCTGCTAGACTCTAAAATGTCAGAGACATACAGTATATCACCACCAGATAGAAACAAGGTAGTAATTGATGCCACCACAGACTAGAGCCTGAAAAGGCAGTACTGATATCCACCACTGACTAGATACTGAAAAGGTGGTACTGATATCCACTACTGACTAGAACCTGAAAAGGCAATACTGATATCCACCACTGACTAGAACCTGAAAAGGAGGTACTGATATTCACCACTGACTAGAACCTGAAAAGGCGGTACGGATATCCACCACTGACTAGAACCTGAAAAGACAGTACTGATATCCACCATTGCCTAGAACCTGAAGATGCGGTACTGATATCCACCACTGACTAGAATCTGAAAAGGCGGTACTGATATCCACCACTGATAGAACCTGAAAAGGAGGTACTGATATCCACCACTAACTAGATACTGAAAAGGCGGTACTGGTATCCACCACTGACTAGAACCTGAAAAGACAGTACTGAT